TAAATTTATTAAATGAATATTAATATTAATAATATTAGTATTATTATATTATTAAATGATTATTAATCGATATTAATACGAAAATATATGTGTTTTCCTTTCAAACTTTCCTCTGACACCTGGTAATAGACAATCCTTTTCCAACCCCACTAAACACTCAGAATAGCCTTGTTTGCCGTCAAATCTGGCTTTGAAGTCACTTGTGGATAATCTTTACCATGATAAGTTGCGTGGGTATTCTCGTATTTAATTTACCGGCAACAATTCTCTTCCAAAGACAGTCAATCAAAATTGTTTCCTTTAATTCATACTGCTCTTTTTAAATGAGTCCAAACTATTATGAGGTTGATGTTTGGTGCATCCACTAACTTCTGACAGCTTGAGTATTATTTCACCAGTTGCAAATTCTCATCGATTTTTTTAATCACTGGGTGAATCTAGTGAGCTACATCTTTGGCAACAAAATTTCCGAAACAGAATCGAGTACATCATATTTAAATTTATATTTTCGTTGATAAACCATTTGCAGAACAATTTATGACGTATATTAATAATTGCATCGAAGAGTTTACTACTTCACATTATTCATTCAGATCATTCAGGTTTTTACATAAATACTTACTTCTTACACATTTAATATAATTTGTATTACAGATTATTGTCCGGACCTTACCATTATATATGAATAGCATTTAAATATTCTACAGAACACACCTTACAGTACTGGATCCGTTTGAGATAATTGTTGATGACTTCTGGACACATTGATGGGCATACCTTGCTTTGAATGATCGATTTCAAATAATCAAGAGTTTGAGATTTGACCACATAAATAAGAGTCCACAAAAAAAACTAGTGGTGACAAATCGGTGGAAAATTCATAACACTGAAACATGAGCTTAAATATCCCAGAAATTTTTCCACCAAAAAAATCTAAACAAGGCATGTTATGTGACTTGTAGCTCCATTCTCTTGAAACCACATAAATTCCTCATCTTTATTTTCAATTTTGCACAAATAAAAATTGGTGGTCATAAGACTGTATTGATCAGAATTAAAGGCGTGTGTCACTTTCAATAAAGTACAGGCCTATCACATCTTGAAACTAATGCAACACCATATAGTGATATTTTGTTTATGCAATAGTCTTTTAATAGTTACTTGTGGACTCTTACTGCCATAAATGCAAAAAACCCTTAATTCGATGCGTAAAATTATCAACATTTTGTAGTAACTTTCCATTATTTTATTGATTATTCATCGGTTATTAAACTATCTATAGTGTAAATTGGCAAGAATTAAACTAAATGTATGCTGCCTTGGATTATAGTAAGTTTTGCATATTTTACAGAAACAGTGACCACGAAATGGATTACTATTTATCATCAAGTTCCAGAAGTTATGAAGAAGTAAAAATCTTTTTATAGGACTCCACTTTGTCAATTCGAAATTAGAAGCTGAAGAGGAAAAAAAGACGGTATGATGCACTTAGTGTGGAAATTTCTCCAATGGTCTAGATTGACTAGATTGTTAAATGTGAACTAAATTTATTACATTATTATAACCTACATCACGAGTTCACGGCACGGGTTCCAAGAGTTGAAAACGCCTAAAATAACATTTGGAAAATTTGGTAGCTGTGACTTATGTATAAATGAAACTTGAAGGTTAATTATATAACTGTTTTTATAAGTTAAACAGAACTAATTTATTTAACAGAATTTTATTTACACAGAAATTTAATTTATAGAAAGAAATGAAATAGTATAGAATGAGCTTTTTTTATATACTTTTATAATTTGTAGTGGTTTTTCATTTTTTTAGCTATTGCTACAAAACTTAGTACTACGAATATATGATCTAAACTCTAAATATATGATCTAAACTAAAGGCTATAATTTCAAAACCGTTACCCAACATATGGGTCTTCTTATTTTATGAAAGGAGCTCATAACCCACTCAAAGCGGACGAGATAAGGTCATTTTTTGCCAAAATTCGTCTCATTTGTTAAAGAATGACTCATAGGTAGGTACTACCATGAGTAAGTATCACTGGAAAGTAAATTTTTTTTGGTGCTACCATAAGTAAGTATCAGTGGAAAGAGGAATAAATATATAAAATTTAATGGAATAAAATTTAAATTTAAGTATTTTAAAATGGTAACGAAAAAGCCTTTGTATTTTACCAAATTTTTATATTCAATTAATTAACTAAATTCTAATTCTGTTAAGGTTTTGACAAATCAGATTTATTTTAATTGAACCTAAACCAATTTTCAGTTTCTGATTTAATGAACAGATTGAAACCATCTTCTATTTGCTTTAGTTACTTGCTCAATTATTTGTTCAGAGAAATAATTTGTATGTGAAAAGAAATTGTTTATCCAAATTGCACACAGAATAATGGTCTGTTAGATCCTAAGGAGTATACGCAATGCTATACAGCTTCTAATTGCTTGAGAAGCTAAAACTTTCATATTCTATTTACTCTTTCTCCTTAGAAGTAGTGATTTCAGGGGACCCATATCCTGTGGTATGGTATCTGCTAGGTAAGGAGTGTCCTGAAGGTACGGGATATGGATTAAACAATGAGAGCCAAGCAAAACCAATTGATTGCTCTGTTCCTTTCCGATAAGCAGGCCAAATAATATGTGTACTACTTGTATCACTTATAGTACATATAGTAGAAAGTTATATAACTAGAGCGATAACCACATTACTTGGGTTATTATTACCGGAATCTTGGGTTATTATTCAAAATCTTTAGAACCTCTTTTCTAACAAACCTCAAAGAGTTGTCATCTTTTAAAGTAAGTAAAATCGCCAAGTTTATAGACTTTTCAGGTCAGTTTCCTTGCACTTGTATTGGGGAGTTGCGACTTCTACAAGGAACAATATTTCTGCACTAGATGTTTGGGACTTCTCTCTTTAAGGTGACTCTTCAAAACAAACATTATGTTAATCAGCTTGAATGCACAAAGCTGACACTCTAATCTAATTTCACCTACTTTTCTTTGTATAATTAGATAGTATGGAAATTTAAAAAGTAGGTATTACATCAATTGAATCTGGTAATGAAGAATAAACTCTGATATAGAAGAGGAAACCATCAAACAACTTCTGTTTTTCTAACCAGTCAATAATAAGGATAACATTGTCATTCTTCACTGGAGCATATTTGATGTGCTTCCAGCATTTATATAGCAAAGCTAACACAGTTGGTTACATCAGTGTTTCAACAAAAGCGGCAGAACTACTGTGATTATATAGTATCACAATAAACCAATATAGCCTAGGTGTATTAACTGTTAACTTAAAAAGTTGATGATCACGTCAACGTATACCTTGACTTGGACACCAAATATAAATCAAAAATTGATATTCTATTATCTTTTTACTTCTAATCTCATTAAAATCATAAAGCTTATTTAATACTTTTATTACTACACGTAAATAGTAAACTTTGGAGATATAATAGATAATGTAAGGCAATACCCAATAACCAACGGAGCTGCTGCGAGTAATTCGATACATTTTTCACCGCTCATAGGTCTCGGTAGTAGATAGTGGGTGACATAGTCATCTTTTTCTGGATTCTGATAATCCCAAATCCGGCACCAGTCATAAGAGAAATGATTATGATACCGATTACAATTATTTATTGCAAATGTTTTCATAAAGGAGTTTCAAAGGATTGAGTATAAGTGTAGGAATGCGTAAGTTTTTTCCACTTATAATCAATTATTAGAAATTTTGATAGTTTTGCTTAAAATGGATAAATCATTGATATGAAAGTACTTTCCCTATTTAATATGAAACTAATATATTTATTTCTATATATGTACCTTCATGGTTTACATATTTCTATCTACATTTTGTTATTGTATTTCATAAATAAATGTTCTTAACGATTTTATAAAAATATTGAAAGTAGAAAATATTTTGGCTATTGTGAGCGATTCATTAGAGTAAATTAGGAGTTTGAATAGAACAAAGACGTTATGCAAATATAACAAAAAATCCAATATTATGAATGTAGAAAATTGTGCAAAACTGACTTTCGAGGAATTTTGAAAATTTGATATCGTGAATGACATTTGCAAATCAAATCAAAATCAAATCGAAAGACAAACTGCAAAGAATTCGAACAAGCGCAGTAATTGAATGCAAGCTGGAAGGTTCTGCGCTATTGCAATATCTGTGGTGCTCCGGGCTCATGTTGCAAACATTGAATCACTACACCACTCACTTCTAAAAAAATGTAAATTCTGCTCTCGACTAAACGTATAGATCTCATATAAATATATATAAAAATTCTCTGAAATTAGGTCAAGGCCTTAAATATGCGAGTATATGCAGGTGCATCTATTTTAGACAAAACAATATTTAATGTACAATAGGAATTTAATACCAAAGCAGAACATTTAAATTGCTTATTAGACATTTAATCTAAACATAAAAAATGGCGTCCTTAGAAATGGTAACGCCCTCCTGTGCAGGATTGCACACAAGCACTTAACTACCCCACACGCCAGCCACTTAACATTGTTTCATATTCACCTCGTTTCGTATACACACATAGAGCTCAGCACCGCTCAACACCGCACAACACAACACACACTCACACACTCACACAACTGAACTGAACACTGCAGCCCTCGGAGCTGTTCAAGGTGCGCATTGTTGTTATTGTTGTTGTTGTGCTTGCATTTTCTTTTGCTGTTCCGTTGAAAACGTTTCTGATTTGCAACTTCAGTTCTTAGTTCGCTGTCAACACGTTCGGTTAGGGTTTTGTGTAAAATCGAAATTGAAGATCAAATATCTGTGGAGTTTACGCGCTAAAAAGTGTTTAAATTTATTTTTCTCATTAAAAATTAATTGCTTAAAATGTCCTAATTTATTGCATAATAAAAAAAAAAATTTTGCAATAAAGTTGAGTTTTATTGTGTGAAAAATTTTATGATTGAAAGTTGCAAAAAATTTTACGAGCAGTACAAAAATATTTAAGATATGCCGCCTTCTGTGCTTAAGCAAACTTAAATAAATAAACAAAAGAATAGTTTATTAGTTTTATGGCAATTTTCCATGTGACACAAAAATTATCATAAATGTTTGAAAGGAATATGAATGCAATTCTATCATCATCCATTAACGGTGGTGATTTAGATTCTACAAGCTCCGGCGGTACTTCGGATAATTCCGCTTATCATCAGGAAAACATGCACTCACCCATTTCTTATGGATCTTTATTTTTACCAAATGCAACAGGTATTTAATTATTATTCTATTTCAGGTAGATACTTTTTATTCTATTGTACGAACAAAATTCTCTAACTGTTTTTGGAAGATACGTAGGAAAACATTATAGATGCTGAAAGATAGCAATGCCAGGAAAATTCTCTAACAGTTTTTGGAAGATACTTAACAATATATTATACATACAGACTGATAGCATGGACTAAGTTCTTAATTCTAACTGAATTTATTTTAAATAGGATGGACTATATTACAAATAACTACAGATTATTACTTTATCCTGCCTCCCATTAAACTTTTATTACTTAGTCCACAAAGTAAGCACCATTATAAACTAATGATTATAATTTTAACATAATTCACTAAAAACTTTTGATTCTTAAGTAGTAATAAATTACAATAAAAATTATTGCAATAAATTCCTTTCTTTGATTAAAAAAAATTTATGTCTTCTGTAAATTTTTCATTATCAGAATCCGTATTTAACCGATTTCTGGTCTTCAATCCATCCCAACTACAAGTCAATGTTATTCAATTTGACACCGCTTCATAATCTATCCTTCCGCTGTGTACCATTCAAACTACCATAAAAGGGTTTCCGAATTCATTTTGAATGAACTGAGTGCCTAAAACAACAAAGTTTATCCAACATTCTTTTTATCACTATATCTGATCTAAGTTAGATTGCGAATAGTTCGCGATTATTCCTTCGCTACTTCCCCACATATGAAGTCCACAATTTTTGTTTTCTTTCGAATGCAACTAACAAATTCGAGTGCTTTTCGTTGAGCAATCAAACCCTTAATCTTAATCTTGTACATCAGTAGCTCAGATGTTATGGTTAAAAAGGATTGCCAAGTAATAACAGCTCTTTGTAAGCACCTAAATTTCGAATCTATTCGAGAGTATTGATAAGGTCTTTGTCTTGTACATTAGTAGCTTCAATGTTATGGTTAAACAGGCTTGCCTACCGATAATAACTCTTTGCGGAGCACCCAAATTTCGAATCTATATAGGAATGTTGGTGATAACATAGTCTTGCAGAGCAATCACTTGGTTAAAAGGCTTAACAGACTATAACTTTTTGTTACGCACCCAAAATTCGAATCCATATAAGAATATTGATTACACTATCATCTTGTGCAGCAGTAGTTCAAAGGATATGGTTCAAAACTTTATATAAAGACACTCGTTGGATTTCAGCAACTGCCTACGGTTTTCTTAATCGATGATATTATCAGCAGTTACAAATGACCCAAATCGAATAAAGGATTCAAATGAGGGTTTCTAGGCAAGGTGATGTGTTTAGAAATAAGTTTAATATACTTAATGTTGTCGGATTTTAAAGTATTTCGGAAATGTTATAGAGATAGGCTTATTTGTAATTACGATTGTTATATCAGAAAGCATTTTGAACTTAAAATTTTTTTTAGCTCTAATTTGCTAAATATTGCGGGTCATAATATAAGTGTAACAGACCTATTTTATAAAATATGGCAATTTACTCAAATTCAACTCTTATTAAATCATATGTTGTTTGAAAATTGGTGATATATATCAATATGATTAATAGCGTTCGTTTAAATTCTACATGTAGATAACACTGGTTTTAGTTAATGTAAATATGGATTTCCCCAACTTGAAAAACATAATTTATTTATGGAATTTTTGAAAAAATTTTTATTTTTATTATAGTAATGTACAGTAACATTATCAATATACAATGTTATTAAAAACATTGTTTATTAATAACATTATAATAAGCTTAAAAGCAGCTCCTTGCCAGTCATTATTTAGAATAATAGAATAATACTAGCTCCCAACATAGGAAAACAGTAGAACCGTTGTAGGTTTTTTGTGCTACAATCTGACAATGGAATACACTCAACCCCTGGAAACGTAAAATGTCATTCATTGAGGATTTTCTAATATCGGCTGAGGATAGAAGCTCTCGCTATAATATCCCCATCGTAGTCCAAATCAAAAATATGACTAGAAATCTTAACTGTTTGCAAGCAGATCCCACATTTTATAGTTTTTAACAAACTTATCTTGTTGACCCGTCAGATTACCAAAACTCTCTGCTCCGTTCTACTGTAGTTGTAAAGACGCACCAGTTCAGATCAAAAAATAACTATCACAGTAAATATTACTAATAGCCTAATTTGCTTCCAAGCAGAGCCCTTAATCTATATCTACAAACGAATCCGTTTTGCTGGGATGGTCAATCGCGGCATGTTTACATATTACATTTTAATAATATTATCATATTATCAACAACTTCAGCTTTCTTCTACTATAGTTGTAAAGAGAAACCAATTCTAACGAGTGAGGGTTAGCAGGTATATCACGTCTTCTTTCGGTTATTATCGCCAATAATTATGTATTAATATACTAGGTATAATAACCATTAACAAACTATTACGGTATTGAATACTCTTGTTATCAAAATAAAGGCTAAATAAACCCTAAGAAAGAGATCTGGTTCGATTGAGAAAGGGATTAACACATCGATGGAAACCATAGGAAAGGTTTACAAATATTGAAAAATCATTGGAATACTTGCCTTAAAGTTAAATTTTACTATTATTGAAAGTTTTAATAATATGATTATCTAATAAAAATGTTTATATAAAAATATACGGAGGTATAGATATATTGAGTATATGAGCCATGTAAATTTATATATCAGTTTCATACACTGAATTAAATCATTATTAAGACCTCAATTTTTAATTAATTATGTATATTCAGTCCACTTCTGCTATTATACAAAATTTCAAAGATATTACGGCAAAGATATTTTATACATTATATATAATACATCGAATGGCCCAACTGATCTGCACCTTTTCTGACCGTCAAATGTGTAACTTAAAATTGAAAAAATATATTAAAAAATAATTATATTTTTACGAATTCGTTTTGAATGTTCATAGAAGCCGCATTTAAAAAAAGCCCACTGACAAACGTATCACACGTTTCACTAATATAAACTGAAGAATCTAGAATCTCTGTGTATTAGAACACAGTCTCACAGCTAATGTATGTTAATGTAACATATCTTATGTGTCAGTGCAGATTCTTATTGAACTTCTGTTTCTCTCTCTCTCTCTATCTCTCTCTCTCTCTCTCTCTCTCTATCTCTCTATCACACTTTCTCTCTCTCTCTCTATCTCTCTATCACACTTTCTCTCTCTCTCTCTCACTACGATATTTGATAGTCCTCGACTTCATAACAGTTTCTCAATCTTTCGGTAAATATTTGCATTAACTTTTGAGCTGGACCAAGATATTTGATTGTCCTCGGCGGCAGATCAGTATCTCAATCTCTCGATTAACATTACCATAAACGCTGCGCAGAATGATTATCAACATATCGAATACCTAAACAAGAGAATAATCATATAGTCGGTATTTGATTGCGTTTGTACAACGAAACCCTTCATTTAATTTGTGGACATGTAATCGAGATTGGATAATAATAGTGTTGCTCTAGTCAAGTTTCCAGTAGGAACTATGTCAGAAGTTAACTAAATTGTATGGAAATAAATTTACTCACACCTCTTACGGATAACATAAGCCAATGGCATGAGAAAAAAACATGGTTTAAAAAATCATTGCAAAATACTTGGTGATAAATAGAGCTCTTAGCACTTCTCAAATTGTCAAAAATACCTACTACAAGATCTTCAAAGAGGGGTTTAACGGTATCTGCTATTGTAACCAATAGGGAACAATAGGTCTTATGTGTGGTTTATAGTTAGGCAAATTAATCCAATCCATCCCAACTTTTATTATTTAATCGCATTTGATTTAACATGTTTTCTCTATTAGATTACAAACATATTGATCAACTTAATATACCCGTTGTTTATTATTTCAATAATATATATGTTATATATGTATTTATTTTATATTGAAACAATATAAAGAACATCTACACCTTTTATATTTATATACAATTACACAAATATTCTGAGAAACAATTCATCGAACTCATAATTTTTTATATTTATATTGATTAAAATATTTAATAAAAATTCTGATCATTATTTTATAAACAAACAACAGTCCTCAATCAGTCCAAACATCAGTCCTCAATTATTGTTAAACAATTTCTGTAATTCTATAAAATAAAAGTAAAGAGCTTAGCTTAACAAATACTTTAAGAATAATATTTCAAACAAAAAATGTAATTTTAATTTATTAAAAAAATTAAAAAAAAATGTTTCTTACATTCGATATGTCTGAAGTATCAGGAAACCGATTTATTTATTAAAATTTTTTTAGGGTATTACGAATTACTCATTAGTCATGCATGCAGTCATCACAATATTGGCTAGTTAGCAGAAAGTTAGAATAATGTAACCTTTTCTATAATTTACATACATGAACCAGCTTTTCATATATAAAAATAATGCTTAAGTATAAAAATTAAAAATGATTCAATTTATTTTTAGGTTATCGTGGCAATATTTCATGCAAAACCGTATTGCATATTGACAAATTCTCACCGTATGCGTCAGAGAAAGACATTGAACGGCGATTTCAAGACATAACCAGTGACTATGAAAAATCTTCACCGTCAACATCCACTACTTCACCCATTTACCCCACGCTAAATGGCGTGATATTTGAAAATAGTCTCAGTGATCTAAATGGCAATACCAAAAACCTTGGTTGCAATGAATCGTTGCATGGCTTAAACCAAGCGGCAGGCCAGGCCCTTAACAGCAGTGGTCCATTATATCCAAATTTATCAGCAAATCATACTGTCAATGGAAACTTCCATGTAGATAGAAAATTTTTGCAATTCACAACAGATCAGGTACAAAATGTACATATACGAATAATTGGTAAATAAATTGAAAAAAATTTTAAATTGTTTTTTTCTTTAACTCAGATACAATGTATGTGTGAAGCCCTGCAGCAGAAAGGTGATATTGAGAAACTTACCTCATTCCTCAGCAGTTTGCCACCAAGTGAGCTATTCAAAACGAACGAAAGTGTGCTGCGCGCACGTGCTATCGTGGCTTACCATCGTGGACACTTCAGTGATCTATATAGTCTTCTCGAAACACACTGCTTCTCTGTGAAACACCATACTGATTTACAAAATCTATGGTTTAAGGCACACTATAAAGAAGCAGAAAAAGTACGTGGACGTCCGCTGGGTGCAGTTGATAAATATCGTCTACGTAAGAAATATCCGCTACCGAAAACGATTTGGGATGGCGAAGAAACAGTATATTGCTTCAAGGAGAGAAGTAGAAATGCTTTAAAGGATTGCTATCAAACCAACCGTTATCCTACACCAGACGAGAAAAAGACTTTAGCGAAGAAAACTGGGCTGACGCTAACGCAAGTGTCGAATTGGTTCAAAAATCGAAGACAACGCGACCGAACGCCCCAACAAAGGCCGTAAGTTTATTTATTCTCTGCTGCTATAATAGTTGCGTATAATAAACGCAAACTACCAAATTTATTGATTATTAAAATTAAGTGGAAGAAGTGTTCAATAAACAATCGTTTCGACACGAAATGAACAATAACTCCACTCTCGGAAATCTAGTAAATCTTGAGGAGCTCATATTTCTTTTATGTGCTATAAAAAGTAAAATTACTAACGGCTTCAGTTTAAGAAATGCGCTCAAAATAAACAAATATAAGTCGTTAATACTAGGGCGGGAAGAATTCACTTTATAACCACGGGAAGCCACTTTGGCGCGTAAAGTATTTACAAAAAAATTCAAAGTTCCTCATAAGTCATAAAATAAATCATAGCGAAGACGACGTGAACTACACATATGCAGGGAAAAAACTCAAAAATTCGAAAATTCATTGTTTCCAATTGAAATTGGCATTAAAATCGATTAGATCTGACCATAACAGGCACACATGCACTTGCACCATTTTTTTATACCACAAGTGCGAAGCGTCGAGGTTTCTTCTTAATTTCCTTAGGGGCACTTGAGCATATTTTATGTGCAGTTTTTGCATTTCATTGATGTTTCATGCGTTTCACTTTCAAAGACTGTAATATTTTTAGACATGGAGTCGCCTACATTAGAAGAAACTATTCGAGCAACTTATTGCCATGAACGCACCGAAACGCACGCATGCCTAACATGTGGACCACAAGTCGTGCGTGGTTCATATGCAGATTTCTTTAAATGTCGGACGCTCATATGTGACTTTACAGAATATTAAATTGAATCTTTAGTCGCAGCATCGTAAAAATCTTCTGAAAACACTCATGCCACCATTCAGCAAGTGGTTCGGCAAGGTGGTTTATTTGGCAAAAATCTTGTCCTATATAGTTTGCACGTCTAGCAATATATGACCAATATATGACGGCTACCTCCATTAAAAATGTACGTGTTCGCAATTAAGCATCTAATCACGTTTAGTATACTCCCTTTTCAACCAGGATATTGGAGTCTAACATGTCTGTAATGAATTTTAAAAATATCTATATATAGTGTGTATATGTATACCATTCCACACCACTTTTTATAAACGGGTTATTTTTTTAATAGGTTGTTTCAATCTCAGTTTTTATTAATGAAGAATTTTTTAGAAGGTCTTTTAGACTTTGAAATAAAAGAATATTATTATATTTCTGCATTTATTATATTCATATAATACGTATATATTTATAGAAGGGTTTGTAAGCCGTACGGAATTACAATATTAAAAATAGCTATGTGGTCAGTCAAAAATTCAATTAATTAAAATAATATAAAAAAGAATTTATGTTGTTGTAGTTCACTACTTTTCACTACTTTTATCTTTAAAAATAATAATAATAATATAATAATAATTAGGATGCTTTCTACTATAGGTAGGAGTAGCAGGAGTAGTAGGTGTGTTGATATTATCGATGGCCTCTATCCTGGATGTTAGTTTATTAAAATCTTTTTACTGAATTCAAGTAAAGTTTTGATACCATACACAAAATATGGTCAGTACCCCTGATCAGTATCAAAACAATAGATTACGCAGGAATATCCAACTGTATGTAAGTTCGTGTTTGTCGTTAATTCTGTCTACGTGTCTTTTAGAAGATCAAATCAGTTTTTTATGAATCCAAACATATCAAATCGACAAATATACAAAATAACTATAGAAAGAAAACCTTATATAACCTTATATAAAATATCTATAACATATATTGAATCCCCTGTTAAAACCACTTTCTTAATATAATGGAATTTATTTAATAGGAAATACACTAAAAACTCTCTTGAATGGGCACTAATCATCCATTTTATACATTATGCATTAAGTATTACAATTTATAATAATTGAGAGGTGTCAAACAGTAGTGAGTTACAACAACAAAAATTATATTATTTTAATTAATTGAAATTTCGAGTATTGCCAAATACCCATCATCAGTGGTCTTGGAATTATTTCTTGTGTTTAATTATTCATAAATAATTTTTTAAGACTGCCAGGAAGTCGAGAAATTTATAATTATTAATTTATAATACATTAAGACTGAAAAGTTTTCGGAAATTCTCATTTAAAATTCGCGCGCTGTATATTTTTCGATATTTTAAGTTTATGTAGTTTGGCAGCACTGTCCTTAATTACTATGCCAAAAATGAGCTCGATCTGTCAGACAGTTCGTTTACGGCAGCTGTTGAAACCAGTTCACCTCAGTAGTGCGTTGCGAAATGTCTTCGACGGTCGTACGACCGTCCTGGAAGGCTTTGTACCACTCATAAACTTGAGTTTTCGATAAAACTGATTCCCCATAAGCCTTTTGTAGCATTCGCAACGATTCTGCACACGAAATTTCGTTCGAAACACAAAATTTGATGCAAACTCTTTGTTCAATATTTTTTTCCATTGTTTTTTTCGCAACGCCCTACTGAGGTGAACTGGTTTCAACAGCTGCCGTAAACGAACTGTCTGACAGATCGCGCTCATTTTTGGCATAGTAATTAAGGTCAGTTGCTGCCAAACTACATAAACTTAAAATATCGAAAAATATACAGCGCGCGAATTTTAAATGAGAATTTCCGAAAACTTTTCGGTCTTAATGTAATTCAATTAACTATTATTTTGTGTTTTTAGACTTTAGTGAACAATATATCTCGAGTAACATTTAGCGGATGTTATTACAGATATTAACGACATACCCTGAACAAGTAGTCAAAAAAATTTCAACACGTCGACAATAAAAACAATATAAAAATAAAAAATAATATTCCAGATTTTGTGTTCATCAAAGCTTAAATACAATAAATAATCAAAATTAAGTAAACTTAAAAACAAATTAATTAAATTAAATTAAATTTGTTTATTTAATTTTTGCCTGAATGGAAAAACTCAAATGTAGAATCTCATCAGCCATTGAACATTCTCAGTTTCATTTAATGGATTTAATCTTTCGAGTTATTTAAAACTATATATTAGAATCACATCTTTTATATCAGAAACATCTAAATTTTTACGAAATCGTTGCAGTCTTTCTCATTAGAGTTTTTCTGAAAAAGTTTTTCATCTGAGAGGGGTATCCATTAAGACAGTTTTGACACAGTTTTGACGCATAATATTTACCAAAAGTTTAGCAGGACCAAAGCACATCATTAAAGATTAGCTGCTTATAGAAAACTTAACCCATCATCATCATCCGTGACTATACAGTCCATGTAGGACCTAAACCTGTTTAAGAACAGTCTTCTCTGTTTTTTACCATTTTTTCCAATTTCTTATGTTAATTTCTTCTAGGTCCTGCTACAGACAGTATTTTCATCGATTTCTTGGTCTCTCTCTTCTTCTGCTGGTTTCTACTTCGTTCTCATAAATCTTAAGCGGTACTCTCATATCCGACATTCTTCTCCCATGTCAAACCCATCTTAATAGCTGCTTTTTCATAAATTGGTTGATTACATCACCTTCAGCTAGCCGTGGTTAGTCTTGTGGTTGTATCTTTTGCGATACATTCCGTTTTCTTTCACGGGACCAAAAATTGTTCTGAGTATTTTCCTTTCAAACACTGCTATCTTGCTTGCTTCAGTTTCAGTTAATATCCATGTCTTGCAGCCATATTTTACTACTGGGCGAATCAATATAGAAAATTTAAATACTAACTTTAATTATTTGCTTCGATATCATAATCTTTTAAAATTAAAATTTTATAAATTATACCATAAAAAAATTCTATTAGATATAATTTTTGCCTTATTGATCCATATATCTTTACACAATTTCAGAGATTTAATGTCTGTGCTGCCTGTCAATCACATGGATCCCAGTGGTTTTCCACGCATGTTTAACGCACCGAGTTACTATCCAGAATCAATTTTCAACGCTCAATAACACTAACAGAATATATTCGAATATTGTACTTCGAAGCAGTGAGGAGAAAAGGATGAAGCCCATATTTCAAATGTACAGATCAACAAGAACGTAAAAGTCCATAAAATGGCAAAACGCGCTTAGATTGTTGTAAAACGGAGCTTTAGTTCAATTATTTTAAATTAAATAAATTGAAAAAATAGATTTAAATTATAATAATTAAATTGCAATATAATTTAGTTTAAAATAAAACAGAATTTCAAAAAAAAATGCTTTTTTTATATATCGCCAAAAAAAAAATTTCTATTTAATCTATTATTTTCTGTTGATCTTTTAAGATCCTCTATATTTTTAATTTTATTATATTTGGAATCAATTCTTGAATCGAAGCTACATACTTTATTATATAGACGAAGGAACAAAGGATGACGTATATGTAGTTTTAATAATATTAACTTATAATAGATCGTAATCCTGATGATGCCTCTCAAGGAGAATCGAAATATAGAGTATAATAAAAAATATTAAACGTTTAATTATTTCACAAGAAGGGACCTACAGCTAGATTAAAAAATATATACTTTATTATATTTTTAGTAATTCTGCATTACTAAAGATCAGTTAACCATTTTCTTTTTTCTAAATTAAATTAAGAAAGATTTGATTTTCATAGACCTCTACTAATTAATTTTTAAGAACTTCGTGTCAAAACTAATTGAAAACGCTTTCAGAATTGAAAGAGCCTAATAATACAATATTTGTTCTTCAATTCTCTCTCTCTCTCTCTCTCTGCCTCTCTCTCTGTTTCTCTCTCTCGCTCACTATCTGTATCTATCTCTCTCTCTCTCTCTCTCTCTATCTCTCTCTCTATCTCTCTCTCTATCTCTCTCTCTCTATCTCTCTCTATCTCTCTCTCTCTCTCTCTCTCTTTATGATAGTAAAAAACTCTGCTTAGCTTTTTTATGCTTTACTGTTGGAAATGAAAGACTGGATAGATGAAGATTCCTGTATGATTACAAGACTCAACTGATCCAAATTGTTAGCTACTTGAACAAAATTAAAACCAACTTAGTACTATGGTATTGATGTTAACATACCAGTGCATATTAGCAAAGCATGCAATGAGACTTACTCGTTCAATAACAACTTTTCTTAGGGTCATGGCTCTGTGAATAAAAACGGAACTGTGCTCCAGCTCATGTCACATCGCTTCTTATTGTCTTAGAAAAAACTCAAAATCTTTGTGATCTATTGTCTTACTGACCAGGTTGACATGTCATCGTTTGTAATTATAAACATTACCAAGTTCATAGACTTACTAGTTAAATTACTTTCTACTCGAGTGGTAGCTTCGCAAATGGATGCTATTCATATGCTAAATGCATTGGACTTCTACCTTCAGTGTGGTTATTTGGATCTACTTTACGGAATTAATCTCATCCGTGGTAACTTGGAAACATAATCAAGTTTATAATCTTGTCATATTGATTCTTTTCTACTCTAATTAAAGAGTGACACCTTCTCAAATGAACGATGTTCTTGTGCTAATTGCTTTAGATTTCTACCTCTCCGCTGAAACGTTTCTATCCGTTTTATATTCTTCCTAAACATAATACGGCTTGCAATTTTTGTCAAGACTTAAAAAGCAGTTAATTTTGATAATGGACGCGGCAGTCCCTTTGCAACTGTGTTCGAATTGGTTGATCATCGTCCTTACTCTTTAGATTTGACTGCATTTTTTGAATCCAAAATTAAAAGCCAACTGGAGGGACTGCAAAAATTCTAATCAAATGATGAGAGGATATCCGGTGAATGAATATTTTAAGGGTCATAAAGCAATACAGTGCATTGATACAACAGTTGAAGGGATTAAACTATTGCTCCGAGTAATGTATTGAGTTATATCGAAAAATAAATAACATATAAAACTTATAAAAGCTCCCTTACTAATATGTTTTAGACAAAACTTTTTAGGCACCCCATTAGTTTTAGTTTCTCATATAACTAATGTCAATTTATAATGCAATACAATATTTAGAGACGTGCTTATCTAAAACCGCAGTTCGGTTGTTCATAGTTAGGTAATAAAATTTGAAGAGAAAATATCGTAATATTATGTTAAGAAGAGCTACACAACCAAAATAACAAGTACAACCTGAAAATTTATACCCAGAAGGAGGATGGCTCTCTAACAGTTCATGTTATGAGCAATAAAGTATATGGGTCAAAAACCTATGTTAAGAAAGCAAAGCTTTCGAAAAATTATCGAAAATCATCGGATGATTATCGAAATGTGTGATATAATAACAAATATAAGACTATATATAGACTTTAAGATTATTAATTCCATGAAGGGAACACTATAAATCTCTAGTTCGCAGTGTAAAATTCTCCAACTTAATAATGTTGTGATAATGTTTATCAATTAATTTTATTTTTATACATTTAAAATTAAAAATCCATATAACTCATAAACAAAACAGATTTTTGGGTCAATAAATGCGTGTAGTAATTTTTATTTAATATTATATAATAATATATTTTAATTATCATATAAATTTCCAAAATGAAACCAATATAAATTTAATTATTTAATTTATTATTAACATAAATAATATATTATATATTATAGTATCATAAAAATTGTATTAATCATGTATTTAAAAATTTATTTTTTTATAATCAATAATTTTTTAATATAACGTTGATATTATATTAATTATTAAACTTCAATTTGTTTTGAAATAAATTCTGTTAAGCGCATTTAAGATTACTTTTAACAACAGATGGCGTTCAAAGCGCTTAGTGTACCGACAACAGCTGTGTTTGTATTGGCAGAAAATTTTGCTCATTTTTCTGGTGTTTCTGTAAACAAAATTAATAAAATTTGATTCTGCCGTTGTGAAAATATGGAACAAAAAAATTCTGGAGGACCCAGTTTAAGCCAATATTTTGCAAATGATCCACCAAGTTTTTTCGATGAATTAGCAAATAAAGGTATTCAAAATGATTACTAATCATTCATTATTTATTTATAAATTCTTTAGAAAGTGCAGGAGCACCAACGCAACAGCCAACAAACACGGCAGCATCGAATACAAGGCCTAATGGAGCTTCTGCTGCTGTGAACATATCAGATAGTACTTTTAACGGCGGTTTTCAACCAACTGAATATGTGCATAATCCAGCTGAATTAGCAGACACTGTTTCAGATGAAGTGCGCAATTTTTGGGCGCCAGTAGTTGTTGAGCCTGGCATACCACCAATGCTTACAATGCCTGGGATACATTCACCCAATGACTTGGTAACTGAAATAAAAAAAAATGTATATATTATAATCGACTATAATCAGTGTTTTATCATTGAAGCCTGATATTATTGCTGATGCAGTATTAAAACATTTAGGAGAAGTGGAACTATCACAACGTAAAATTCTCGGCGTTAACAATGTTACTCAAGATGAGCGTGGTTTACGGTCACTCATTGCTGCTGGTTGCTATAGAGCTGCAGTAAACCTAACCGGACGTTTGTTAACAATTTATGGTCAAGGTTATGGGCGTACAGGTCAACCAGCGAAACATTCGCCACATTCTTTGCAACTTTGGTTTACTCGTTTAGCGTTACTTGCTAAGCTGGGTGAGTATGAATTGTTACAAGCGGAAGCAGAACCATTTGATCAATTGAATAGACCCGATGTATACTATGAGGTATGAAAATATATTCAAGAAATTGAATAACATGTATTCTATACTTTTCAATATCAACAGTTTTATCCTGAAATGCATAATGGAAAAACAGGTTCCATTGCATGTTTTTCCTTTCGACTTTTGCTAGCAGAACTACCTATATATCTTGGTAATCCACAGCAAGCCATGGATCGTTTATCAGAACTATTCGTCATAACCAATGATATAAGTAAATATTATAAGCATACGGACAATGAAGTTGCTGCGGAGTTTTGGAACAAACGCGAAATTCGAGTGCTGCACTCTTTCATCAATTGTGCCATTATAGTATTTATGCCGCGCTAATAGTCCTTTCATTTAATATGTCTATTATTTTGCAGATGAAAAAATATAATTTAATAGATGATATCATACGCGATATGATACTTGATCGTCCCGAATTGGCTAAAGAAGAGCGACGAGCTTTGTTTTCTGCTTGGGGGCGCATCTACTTGCAAATAGGCGATATTTTTGGTGCTGAACAGAAATTTGCCGAAGCGCGTCGTCTACGTGAAATGTTAGCTTTTGTTTTTAATATATTAGTTTCAATTTTAATTATATTTCTTCTTCAGCAATTCAGCACCGGATTTGCGAGATCTCGTGGATAAGGGCTTAATAACTTTGGCTAAAAACGATTTTCCTGAAGCATTTGCGATTTTTCAGAAAGCTCTGCATTTGGAATCGGGAAATACAATGATACTTAATAATATGGGAGTTTGCTTACTCTACGCTGGAAAATTAAAAGATGCTATTAACTTGTACGAGCGAGCAATTAATCTGAATCCACAGAAATCGTTAAATGAGAGTTTGCTGGTCAATCTCTCCACATTGTATGAACTGGAATCAAATAACTCTAAAAGCAAAAAACTTAATTTATTGCGTTTAATAAGTAAATATAAACCAGACTTAAATATCAGCCTGGAAATATGTCTAAAGCTGCAGGCTGTGAGCTAATTATTTAACTTTAAAAAAGTATAAACAGTTAAATGTGAATTTGTAAAAAATAGAAGTATTCTTGTTGTCCATCCAGGTTAGGAATAAAAATTAAATATTTTGTAAGAAAAGTATTATGTTGCGAATAATTTTAAATTAGGATAAGGATTTATTATAAACCAGTTAATTTTTATAAATACGGAGTTAAATATTAAAACATGGAACAGATAAGTAAAGTAGAGTTAACCTATTCTATCTATCCGTACACCTACGAAAACCAGCTAGAATAAATTTAATAAAATAGAATATAACAGATAACACTTCCAATATAAAGCCTGTGACAAACAAAGCAAATATATTCTTGGTAAAAATTTTAATGCTTTAAATATTTCAAATTGATTAATTCGAAAATAAGATCTCTATAAATATATAAATTAAAAAAAGATGGTGTTATTTCATCAGGGAATTTGACTTATTGAATACCAAGGTTCTGATGTAGTAGGTTTCTTTATAATCAATAAAACAACAATCACCACTTGTATAGCGAAAAAGGTTTAGACCTTAACTTTAACCATTCCCTGATATACTTGACGTTATATGATAATATAAGAAATGAAGGAAAATCGTGACATATAAAATCTTATAAAAGTATCTGCAAACGCACATCTGACGATTTAGAGCTCCAGGTAATTTAATTCTCATAAGCCATAGAGAAAACTGTAGTAATGCGAAAAAAAGGTATTAAGGTCGTGTGCGAGTTAGGCTAAGTTGATGCTAAACCAAGTGGGAGATTTTTTGGGATTTTTTGCACTGCACACATTTTGCCATTTATCAACACGTATCGACACATCAATACATTATCGACACAACTTAGAATTTCCCTCATTTAGAACGCAACTTAGCCTAACTCGCACACGACCTTAATATCCCAAAAACGTTTACTTAAGAAGAACACAACAATTGATAAACGAAATCTAAATGACGCACTTTGAAACTTTAGAATATAAGAAATAAGACACTTAATGTATATACCGGTTCTTGCAAAATTATATTCAAATACATTACCATTAATTTCAGCATGTACTGGCGCCCAGCAAAGCAACACTTAATTGATTAACTGTTCACCCCTAAGTTGTTGTAATGTAAACACTTAATTTTAATTGTGCAACTATCGTAAATGAAGGTCCCTTCATTGTGAAATGTAATTATAATCGGATTTTATGGAATACAATAATTACACACTTATATTTCGAAGTATAACATTTAATCTTATTTATCGTACAAGCCCATTGCCAGGATATACGAGTTGAAGCGATATATATTTTTTAAAATTAATTATATAGTAAATCCTGTTATAAAACATTTCAATGTGGCAATGATAAGTGCAAGTTTTGATAAAAACAAACCGGAGTCAAGATAGCAACGACGACAGGAGACCCAAACATAAAAATTGATAAAAAGATAGCATTTTTTTAGCTAACTTAATTAATTGTAATTTTCTGAAAATAAGAAAATTCTCTTTTCAAAAAGCTAAAAATCGTAAACATCGTAGTTGTGTGCACGATTATTTAAAATTTATTTTATCTATTTTTTAAAAATTGTCCACTTTTTACATAAAATCCAATTATTTGAAAAAAAAACCTGCACATTCACAGCGCCAAATGCGGAGTAAATTTAAGGCAGGAGTGCCAGCGCCATCTATATTTCAAGTATGAATATGATTGTATTTTTGCAAATAAATGAGTAAATTAAAAATTGAACAGAAAATGCGATTTTCTTATTTAAGAAAATTAATTTAAAAAAAACTATCATAAAGATCTAAAAGCACATGGAAACTTTAAAAGGCAATAAAACACGCGTCCAATTGCAAAAAAAATAAGAAAGCTCACATTTGTCTTCACCCCAGGAAATTTAATCAAATATGAAAACTATTATTTCTTTTCAAACATTTGTTTAAAAAAGTTTAAGATGAGAAATTAAAAAATATCAACAAAATCCATTTATTGTATGTCTCAATAACTTTTTATGGAAAAAAAGAACCAATATGTTACCTATTCCCAATTTTACTATTCTGAATAATATAGGAATGTGAGTTTGTTCCATATTCTCGATTCCCTTATTTCAATCATATGGGAATGTGAGTTTTTTCCCAATTTTGCACAAATTCTTTCCCAAGCAAATTGTTTGGAAGTCAAGTTAAAAAAGTATTAAAAATAGTTTAATTTAGTATGAAAGTAAGTTATAATAATCAGATTTTTGAATATATTTTAATAAAATTATTATTATAATAAATTTTATATTTTCAATGTTTTATTTTTTTATTTTATTCACACGGGTTGATTAGTTTTTCGAATTTTTTTATTAAAATTATTATAATAAATTTAATAGAATAGAAAATTTAATATATTTAAATTTTTATTTACTTATTTTACCCATTAGGGTTTTTTTTTCAACAAAATTAAAGCATTGTTATTTAAAACAAAAGATAATGAAAGAAACCGAAATCCTGAAATGAATGGGATTCCTAGAATAAGTTAAAATAAACTTTTGCAATTATGCGCATCTAAAACATTACTTCTTTTAACTCAAATTTTAGTTAAAACATTTATAACTTTAATTAATAAATAAGATATTTTACTTTGTTTTATTGTATATAAGAAAATAATAAATTATATACATATTTAAATAATAAATTAAATAAAAATTTTCTATTATTTACTTATAAAGTATTCATTATACATATTTATTTCTGATAATTTGTACAGCAGACAAATAATGCGATTCTTACATTTAAATCAAAATATAAACCGCAATTCTTTTCTTTGTTTTGCTTTGCCATAGTTGCCAAAATGTAACAAAACAAATTAGAAACTGTTGTTGTTCCCAAAACTGCATGGAAATAGGGAGATTTGTTCCATGGGAGTATTCAAAATTGCTATGAATATGTCCATAAAGATGAAGAAATTTCCTTTGCAAAAAACTAAAAATCTTAAAAATCGTGTACACAATTTTTTTACAATCATTTTTTAAAAATTTGCCTATTTTTTTACAAAAAAATTCGATTTTATTTTATTATTAAAGTTTTTTATTCATGTAAAATATTAAATTTATAAAATAAGTTAAAGCAAAATATAAAAGCGGAATGTTTTTTTTAAATAATTATTCAATTAATTTTTTATATTTATATTAACATTTAAATTTTTATTCATAAAGAAAAAAAACAATGACGTTTTTTATTTATTTTTCTACTTTTTCTTTTTTCATTTGTTTAAAAGATCCAGTACTTGAATCCGGCTCTTGTTTCTTTTCTTTGGTTTGGTTATGTTGATTATTTTTCGCTGCTTCCTCTTGTTTTTGCTGCTGACGCCGGCGATTTTCTTCTAGCTGACGTTGGCGATTTGCTTCCACATCACGACGGCGTTTTTCTTCTTGTCGACGTTGGCGTTTTTCTTGTTGCCGACGTCGGCGATTTTCTTCTACTTGACGCCGGCGTCTTTCTACTTGTTGACGTCGGCGTTTTTCTTGTTGTCGACGTCGCCAACTTTCTTCTTGCCGATGTCTCCAATTTTCTTCATGACGCTGTTGATGCTGATGTTGCAGGGGCGGCTGTGAAAAAATATACCAATATGATTAAATTTTATTAATAAATACATATGTATACCAATAAAAAGTTATAAAAAAAATGTGTGTATTAAGTCAAATAATTGAATCATTTAATACTTACATTAATGCTGCCAGCCAGCAATCCCATTAGGACGCCTGTAATCATATTTGTATTCTGGAATAATTAAAAAAATTATTTGTTTAATATTTATTTTTAATAATTTAAATAAAAATAATAAAGAAATGTTATTAAAAGCCAAATAGACTTTTAATTTTATTTCTTAGTATTATAAATAAATATTAATACTATTTAAATATTATAATATTTTATATTAAAATTTATTTTTTATGTTATTAAGTAATTTTTAAATAATAAAGCACTTATGTTACATTTTTAATATACATAATTTAAAAAATATTTATTTCATTTTCGTTTTATTATATTTTACTTACCATTATCCAAACTTTTACTGCGTAACCACAAAAAAAAAGACACCAAATGCGCACAATACCTTTCGGCGCAAGAGACTAACGCAAACTATGTGAATGTTCAATTAGGCAAATGCATTGCGTGTATTTAGTATGTACAACCATATACTTATATATGGTATGTATGTATATGCAACATATGACAATACAGAGTTATTCTTCTCTCTGTCAATGTAGGATTGCATGCAAAATTTGCGTTCGGCGCCGGACACACAGATCAGGAGAAAAAATATGTATCCACAATGTAAAAAAAATTAAAAATGGCGTTAAGCGTTTCACTTAACTTACAATCCATACGTATGTATGTATGTATATTAAGGATATATATACATATATCATTTTTATTTATTACTTATTTAAAAGTGTTTGTATTGTTGTCATACAATATCGTTTTTTTTAATATTATTACTTACAATATATTTATATTATTTAATATTATTATAATAAATATTAATAGCAATTATATAATTGTCGTTATTATTGTTAAATGAAAATATTTTGATATTTTTTACAATATTTTTTACAATTTTCATAAAATAATGTGTTTTTTAAAATTGATGAAGTAACCTTTTAACACTTTTCGATATAATTTTGAATCAGATTAAAATACATACATATATTAGGGAAAATATAGAAACATTGGCGTAGCCAGAATTAGTAGAAATTTTATATTTACATACATATGTATGTATAAATTCGAAAATAACCAACGCTTTTTTTATTATATAATCAAATATAAGAATCAAAATTTTGATATAAAAAAAAATTAGGTAGCGTGGAGCCAAGCTTATGGGTTGTAAGCTTTGAAATCAATAAATTTATAAAACGAATGTCTATATATATACATACACACATACATACATGTGTATGTACATATTTCTAGATGATTATTTTTCTAATAATAATTATAATGTATGTATTAGAGTACTACTCTATTCAATAGAGAGAACTTTTAAGTAATATTTATATTTCAATTTAATTAAATTATTTTTTTAAATATATTTTAATAATATTATATGCATATATCATACTTATTATTAATTAAATATTATTTAGAAAGCAGACAGTGGAGGAAATAAAAAATTTGGATCATATTGTTATTCGATCTGTTCGAAAATTTTAGACAAAAGTTAAGCCACTTGCACAAGTAAATATAAATCTACAAACCCACCCTCAAATTACTATCCGGGGCGCACAACACTTTCGCATACACTTTTGTGTTTTTGTGATGATGTCATTTACTTTACAGCTTCGCAAAAATCCTACGAAGTTAAATGCACAGGTATGCAGGCAAAAAAAAGTCTATCAATGTGCATAGGCAAGCAAAGCTATGATATCCCAGTAGCAGAAATAAGGAGTACAAATATTATTTTTCGTTTTATTTTACTTTTTTTATTATTATATTATTTTAATCTTATATTATAAATTGAAAATAAATAATAATAAATATTAAATATTTATATAAAACAAATATACATATGTATGTAAATATTTTATAAAAAAATTTTATACTCATATAATAAATGTGTGTATGAATGTATGTATTCTATGCGTAATGATGTATGTACATTAGGGTGCCATTAAGGTATATGGGCAATTTTTTTTCTCGTAAAATCGGTTGACGGGACCCCCCAGATCGGTTCATTTTACTAAAAAAATAATCTGTGTGAAATTTTAGTTCAATTGGATAAGTGGAAATGGTGCCCCAAGAGCCCCAAAGATTGGAAAATAACTATTTTTTCCATAAAATTCATCTTTAATTGCTTATATCTCCGACATATTTAATTTTACATAAAAACTGTCTTTCTAAAAGTAACAGATCTATTAAAAATGAACAATTCACTCATACTCTGTATTTCTAATAGTTATTGTGTAAAAGAAAAAATAAGCTGCAATCCCCCTATTAAATTTAGGTAAGTTCAATGGATGAATTGTCTACTAAATTTGCTACAAAATAAGTCCAATACTTGTATAGTTATATACATAACTGAGTTTCTGTATTATTCATTGGAATGCGAAGTGAATTTTATAATATTTTATCGTATTGATTAATTCAAAGTGATTACATTAAAAAGTGTTACCGAGAAGTCTTCTTCAAATATTCATAAAAATCGTATTGATACCTTGTTTCTAGTAGGTTGACTGGTTCTAGTAGGTTGACTGGTAGTAATTTACCATCATATAGGGAAGCATTAAAAGTTCTTTTTTACCATGTATGTGGTTAAATTATGGTTATGGGAAAGTGCTACTTTAACTATACAAGAAGTTATCATATTTTGGCAAAAGGCACGAATACCAATAAATGAATAAAAACATTGCGATCCTATTATAATCTCATGAGATACCTGCACTGAAAAATGGTACCGGAAGAGCACAGGCATCTGCTATTTGTAAATCAATTTCTGAATGGGATTTGCAGGATTACGTGCAAGCTTTTGTTTTTGATACGACAGCAGTAAACACTGGACGTTTTAATGGAACTTGCACAATTATTGAAAAATATTTAGAAAGAGATCTTTTATATTTAGCGTGCAGACATCATATTTACGAAATTATTCTCAAAAGTGTTTTCCATGCTAAGATTTACAACTCTGAAAGCCCAAATGTTGAACTATTTCAACGATTTCAGAAGTTTTGGCCGAAAATAAACGTTGATAATTTTATAGTCAGCTTAGAAAATGAAAAAGTATGAAAATCGTTAAATACGGATGATGTGTTACGAATTACAAGTTTCCTTTATAAGATTCGTAAGGATAACCAACCAAGAGATGATTATAGGGAACTTCTGGAACTTGCATTGTTTTTAGGAGAAAAGATGAACTGTACCATAAAGTTTCGACCCCCTGGAGCTATACATCAAGCAAGATGGATGGCGAAAGCCATGTATGTATTAAAAATATTTTTATTTAGGAAAGAGTGCAAATTATCTACAGAAGAAGAAAATGCTCTTTGCGGTATATGTATATTTATTACTAAAGTGTATGTTGAAGTATGGTTTAATGCTTTGTCATCAGTCGAAATTCATTTTCAAGATTTTAATCTTCTTTCTCTTCTCAGTCAATATGAAAAAATTGTATTTGGTATTTAAGCTCAAAGCTTGTTCATTTTGCTTTTTTGGATTTAAATATATCACCTGAGACAAATAAAAAGATGGTTTCAAATTTGAATATAGATAGTGATGACAAGGAAGTCAGGAGAGTATCAATAGATCGCGCAAAAATAACTGAAATCGTCGAAAAGGGAATTGAACAGTTTGTATACAAAAATACTAAAAACATTTTTAATCGTTTCAAGTTGTGCGATGGCTTCTTGAAAATATGCGCCACAAAATGGCATGAAGACCTTAGTTTCATTCAAGCTAAGAAAACGCTTTTAAGCTTGAAAGTAGTAAACGATACGACATAGCGAGAATTGAAACTAATGCTGGACTATAATTCAATTTTAACAAAAAAGGAGAATCAAAAACTGTACATATTAAAATTGTTAACGATTACCGCCGTCGTATTCCAAATTCTAATAAAGATACTTTGTTCCAGCAACTTTAAAAATAAAATAATAATAGTTATGTAGGAGAAAACTAGAATTAGTACTTTTTTATTAGAAGAAATATTTAATTTTAGATATATTGAATTTATTTTAAATTTTTTAGAAACATTAAATTTTTTGTAAAGCTGAAGCGGACAATTACATTCATAGTACTTGCAAAGCTAGCAATCGGGTGACTTCAGCTTATTTTTTCTTTTACACAATAACTATTAGAAATACAGAGTATGAGTGAATTGTTCATTTTTAATAGATCTGTTACTTTTAGAAAGACAGTTTTTATGTAAAATTAAATATGTCGGAGATATAAGCAATTAAAGATGAATTTTATGGAAAAAATAGTTATTTTCCAATCTTTGGGGCTCTTGGGGCACCATTTCCACTTATCCAATTGAACTAAAATTTCACACAGATTATTTTTTTAGTAAAATGAACCGATCTGGGGGGTCCCGTCAACCGATTTTACGAGAAAAAAAATTGCCCATATACCTTAATGGCACCCTAATGTACATACATCATTACGCATAGAATACATACATTCATACACACATTTATTATATGAGTATAAAATTTTTTTATAAAATATTTACATACATATGTATATTTGTTTTATATAAATATTTAATATTTATTATTATTTATTTTCAATTTATAATATAAGATTAAAATAATATAATAATAAAAAAAGTAAAATAAAACGAAAAATAATATTTGTACTCCTTATTTCTGCTACTGGGATATCATAGCTTTGCTTGCCTATGCACATTGATAGACTTTTTTTTGCCTGCATACCTGTGCATTTAACTTCGTAGGATTTTTGCGAAGCTGTAAAGTAAATGACATCATCACAAAAACACAAAAGTGTATGCGAAAGTGTTGTGCGCCCCGGATAGTAATTTGAGGGTGGGTTTGTAGATTTATATTTACTTGTGCAAGTGGCTTAACTTTTGTCTAAAATTTTCGAACAGATCGAATAACAATATGATCCAAATTTTTTATTTCCTCCACTGTCTGCTTTCTAAATAATATTTAATTAATAATAAGTATGATATATGCATATAATATTATTAAAATATATTTAAAAAAATAATTTAATTAAATTGAAATATAAATATTACTTAAAAGTTCTCTCTATTGAATAGAGTAGTACTCTAATACATACATTATAATTATTATTAGAAAAATAATCATCTAGAAATATGTACATACACATGTATGTATGTGTGTATGTATATATATAGACATTCGTTTTATAAATTTATTGATTTCAAAGCTTACAACCCATAAGCTTGGCTCCACGCTACCTAATTTTTTTTTATATCAAAATTTTGATTCTTATATTTGATTATATAATAAAAAAAGCGTTGGTTATTTTCGAATTTATACATACATATGTATGTAAATATAAAATTTCTACTAATTCTGGCTACGCCAATGTTTCTATATTTTCCCTAATATATGTATGTATTTTAATCTGATTCAAAATTATATCGAAAAGTGTTAAAAGGTTACTTCATCAATTTTAAAAAACACATTATTTTATGAAAATTGTAAAAAATATTGTAAAAAATATCAAAATATTTTCATTTAACAATAATAACGACAATTATATAATTGCTATTAATATTTATTATAATAATATTAAATAATATAAATATATTGTAAGTAATAATATTAAAAAAAACGATATTGTATGACAACAATACAAACACTTTTAAATAAGTAATAAATAAAAATGATATATGTATATATATCCTTAATATACATACATACATACGTATGGATTGTAAGTTAAGTGAAACGCTTAACGCCATTTTTAATTTTTTTTACATTGTGGATACATATTTTTTCTCCTGATCTGTGTGTCCGGCGCCGAACGCAAATTTTGCATGCAATCCTACATTGACAGAGAGAAGAATAACTCTGTATTGTCATATGTTGCATATACATACATACCATATATAAGTATATGGTTGTACATACTAAATACACGCAATGCATTTGCCTAATTGAACATTCACATAGTTTGCGTTAGTCTCTTGCGCCGAAAGGTATTGTGCGCATTTGGTGTCTTTTTTTTTGTGGTTACGCAGTAAAAGTTTGGATAATGGTAAGTAAAATATAATAAAACGAAAATGAAATAAATATTTTTTAAATTATGTATATTAAAAATGTAACATAAGTGCTTTATTATTTAAAAATTACTTAATAACATAAAAAATAAATTTTAATATAAAATATTATAATATTTAAATAGTATTAATATTTATTTATAATACTAAGAAATAAAATTAAAAGTCTATTTGGCTTTTAATAACATTTCTTTATTATTTTTATTTAAATTATTAAAAATAAATATTAAACAAATAATTTTTTTAATTATTCCAGAATACAAATATGATTACAGGCGTCCTAATGGGATTGCTGGCTGGCAGCATTAATGTAAGTATTAAATGATTCAATTATTTGACTTAATACACACATTTTTTTTATAACTTTTTATTGGTATACATATGTATTTATTAATAAAATTTAATCATATTGGTATATTTTTTCACAGCCGCCCCTGCAACATCAGCATCAACAGCGTCATGAAGAAAATTGGAGACATCGGCAAGAAGAAAGTTGGCGACGTCGACAACAAGAAAAACGCCGACGTCAACAAGTAGAAAGACGCCGGCGTCAAGTAGAAGAAAATCGCCGACGTCGGCAACAAGAAAAACGCCAACGTCGACAAGAAGAAAAACGCCGTCGTGATGTGGAAGCAAATCGCCAACGTCAGCTAGAAGAAAATCGCCGGCGTCAGCAGCAAAAACAAGAGGAAGCAGCGAAAAATAATCAACATAACCAAACCAAAGAAAAGAAACAAGAGCCGGATTCAAGTACTGGATCTTTTAAACAAATGAAAAAAGAAAAAGTAGAAAAATAAATAAAAAACGTCATTGTTTTTTTTCTTTATGAATAAAAATTTAAATGTTAATATAAATATAAAAAATTAATTGAATAATTATTTAAAAAAAACATTCCGCTTTTATATTTTGCTTTAACTTATTTTATAAATTTAATATTTTACATGAATAAAAAACTTTAATAATAAAATAAAATCGAATTTTTTTGTAAAAAAATAGGCAAATTTTTAAAAAATGATTGTAAAAAAATTGTGTACACGATTTTTAAGATTTTTAGTTTTTTGCAAAGGAAATTTCTTCATCTTTATGGACATATTCATAGCAATTTTGAATACTCCCATGGAACAAATCTCCCTACTCCCATGCAGTTTTGGAAACACCAACAGTTTCAAATTTGTTTTGTTAAATTTTGGCAACTATGGCAAAGCAAAACAAAGAAAAGAATTGCGGTTCATATTTTGATTTAAATGTAAGAATCGCATTATTTGTCTGCTGTACAAATTATCAGAAATAAATATGTATAATGAATACTTTATAAGTAAATAATAGAAAATTTTTATTTAATTTATTATTTAAATATGTATATAATTTATTATTTTCTTATATACAATAAAACAAAGTAAAATATCTTATTTATTAATTAAAGTTATAAATGTTTTAACTAAAATTTGAGTTAAAAGAAGTAATGTTTTAGCTGCGCATATAATTGCAAAAGTTTATTTTAACTTATTCTAGGAATCCCATTCATTTCAGGATTTCGATTTATTTCATTATCTTTTGTTTTAAATAACAATGCTTTAATTTTGTTGAAATAAAAACCCTAATGGATAAAATAAATAAATAAAAATTTAAATATATTAAATTTATTATAATCCTTTTATTAAAATAATAATTTTAATAAAATATATTAAATACAAATTTAGTTATATTAAATTTATTATAATAATATTATTAATAAAAATTCGAAAAACTAATCAACCTGTGTAAATAAAATAAAAAAATAAAACTGAAAATAATAAATTTATTATAATATTATAATTTATTATAATTATTTTATTATAATAATTTTATTAAAATATATTTAAAAATCTGATCATTATAAGTTACTTTCATGTTAATTTAAACTATTTTTATTACTTTTTTAACTTGTCTTCCAAACAATTTGCTTGGGAAAGAATTTGTGCAAAATTGGGAAAAAACTTACATTCCCATATGATTGAAATAAGGGAATCGGGAATATGGAACAAACCCACATTCCTATATTATTCAGAATAGTAAAATTGGGAATAGGTAACATATTGGTTTCTCTTTTGCATAAAAATTTATTGAGACACATACAATATATGCATTAGCTAAAAAATTCTTGATTTTTGATGAAATTTCTGTGATATGAATACAATATTTTGTTGATATATTTTAATTTCTCATCTTAAACTTTTTCAAAGAAATGTTTGAAAAGAAATAATAATTTTCATATTTGATTAAATTTCCTGGGGTGAAGACAAGTGTGAGCTTTCTTATTTTTTTGCAATTGGACGCGTGTTTTATTGCCTTTTAAAGTTTCCGTGTGCTTTTAGATCTTTATTACAGTTTTTTTTAAATTAATTTTCTTAAATAAGAAAATCGCATTTTCTGTTCAATTTTTAATTTACTCATTTATTTGCAAAAGTACAATCATATTCATACTTGAAATATAGATGGCGCTGGCACTCCTGCCTTGAATGTACTCCGCATTTGGCGCTGTGAATGTGCAGGTTTTTATTTTCAAATAATTGGATTTTTTGTAAAAAATGGATAATTTTTAAAAATAATTGTGAAAAAATTGTGTGCATATATATTACGATTTTTAGCTTTTTGATAAGTAAATTTTCTTATCTTTAGAAATTGCGATTCCTCTTTTACACAAGGTGTTATAATGATTACAATGAAGTAAGCTAAAAAAATACACATTTTTATCAATTTTTTATGATAAAAGTAAAATATGTTGTGAAGGTTTTAAAATTATGTTTTGTAATGTATTTTTCAATATTTTTCATTTTGTTTTTGAAATTGGATGATATTTAAGCAGTTTTAATACGATTTAGCACATATTCTACGAGTGCAATTTTTCTGATTTTTTATTTAATTGATAGCTTGTTTTATTGCCTTTCAGTTGAATATTTGTACAGGTCGGTCAGTCTTCGGTTGTTTTTTTCATATATATTTTTATGTAAAAATTGTCAGTTCTTAAAAAAATTTGTTTTTATTTTTGGAGTGTCTCAGCTATTACGCAACATACAATTATGAGGTATATTTCAAATGAAAGATTATTTAATTTTATATCAAAATAATATTTTTTATTTGATTAAAAAGCTTAAATTTAGCTAATTTTGACAAATTAATAAACTTAGAAAAATTTCGTTTTTCATTACGGTTTGGACACATCTTAATTTTGCAAAAATCTTGATTTCATCTTTGTTTCAGCGAAATTAAATTGTTTTTTACATACAATATTCAGTTTTAAGGTTAGAAACAAGGGCTGAAATTAAGGGACATTACAAATGCAACTATGCATAAGATATATTTTAAGAAAAGATAAAGTTCAGATAACGAAAAAGGGACATTTTTTTTTAAATAAATGTCAGTAACAATTGACTTTGATAAAACCTGGAAAATATTTTGAGAGTAGTGCAAGTTTTTACATTTTAATGTAAAAGAGAGTGAAAAATATAATTCACATACCTTAAATCTACTAAAGCTAATAAAACTACTGAATGCTATCCTTTATAGTTATAATAATCAACTTTTAAAATTTCCCAGATACAAATGGTGTTTGGAGCATTAAATTTTTGTATATAAAAAACATGTGATTTCCTTAATTTGTGACAGTATGAACACTTTCGAAATTAATGTAATTTCGTTTTTACGAATTTAAGAAAATTTGGCTATCTGAATATAGTATAGTTAAAATCATATTTTATTCACCTCACAAAAATTAGTGTTGGTAAAAATATCACCAACACTAACATTTTGAAATCAACATCACATCCATATTGGCATAGCTCGCTGATTATATCGCTAGTTATGGGAACACACCACGGATTCGTTTAGTCGAAAAGAGGTAATTGCGAAGATATCTGAATAAAATTGCTGCAATTAATTTATCATATTTTTTAATATATCGTAATGCAATAGTACTGCAATGTGTTGTATATGTTTACACGAACAAAAAGTGTACAATTTATACTTTATTTAATAATTTTTACGGTGAGTTGAGCGCCTAAAAATTCTACGACTAAAGTTGTCACACGAAGCTGCTATTGATGAAAAATTTTCCATTATATATAAAATTTTTGTATGTGTTGCTAGAAATTACAGTCACGAAAGTTAACTCTAAAAGTTATTTTCTTTTGAGGTTTTCTAATAAAATTTCATAATACGAAAAGTGTTGCTATTAGAATATAGAGAAAAGGAATCTTTTTAATTATTTAATTTCTAAAAAATTTTATGTGAATGTAGGATTTGTTGTGAAAATTGACCGAGCGGGCGCAAAAAGAAAGTGTAGAGAAATTTTTATTATACATTTATCTACAATTTGTGCGCGCATATTTACGAAAAAATAACACTTGTAAATTAATCTTAAACGTTACGAAAAACTAAAAATTTAATATATAACTATTATAAAAATATTGTATATATAATAACAAGGGAAATATATACGATGGCAAAATATGTTCATTGATTCAATAAAAAGCGCGCCATTATGTGACGTAGCAGGTTAGACCCATAAACACTTGCTGCAGCATTTCGTTTATACACTTTTCTTACAAAAACCTGAATAAGAAAGAGTTAAATAACATTAAAGAATATTTTCTTTAAAAACATAAAAGTATATTTTCTTTAAAAATATAAAAGTATATTTTCTTTAAAAGTATAAAAGTAAATTTGTTTGTGCGTGAAATTTTAGTTTTTATTGTAAAATGTGATTTAGCAAATGAAATTAATTTATTGTCAATTAAATTGTATTTACGTTTATTATAAGAAAATAAAATTTATTATATTTACATGATTTTGTTTTTATTTAATATGTATAAATTGAATTAGTTGTAAAAAAAACTGTGATTATATTTTGTAAATATTTATATTGTCTAAGTACACGTTCGTCAAAACGTATCGCAAGTTGCCCAGAGTGAAATGAATAAAAGTAAAGCAAAATAGTTTGTTATTGTTTTTATTCTATCTTTCTTCCACATTATTTTCAATGGGAATTGCTTTTGCTTGTTTGCTCAAGTGCGTTTCACACAAAACCACTCAAAAGTACACCACAGCGCAAATCTCAAAAATTGTTTCTTCCTGAGTTTATATTTTTTTCGTCTCGTTTTTTTGTGCTCAATTGTCACTTAATAGAATATTTTTTGAACAAAAAAGAAGTAAAATCTTTGTCTTAAACTGGCTTAGAGAATTCAACATATTTTGCAATTTATTTACTTCAATAAAATATTTATTTTATTTGAAATACTGAAATACACGTAATTATTTTGATAATATTTCTCATTGATAGTTTATTAAATGCTATCAAATTTTCGTTTAAACTGTCCTCTGCAATTCTTAAAAAAAATATTTTCGAAAATGATTCTCCACTACTTCTATATCAAAAATAATTACATTTAATTCTTTTTTTATCTAAACGTTTTACGTAGTA